CCCGCCAATCCCAACCGCCGCGACTGTTCGTTGGGCCCACCGCTGCCGGTCCTGCCACGTTTCCCAACAGTGGAAGCGGGTTCTCGCGGGAGCGTTACGTTTTCAACCTTTTCTCTTTTTTGGGGGGGTCCCTCTGTTCTGTTTTTGAACACCAAATGAAAAGAACTACAGCGTTTTCAAGCTAATATACAGCAAGTCCAGTGCTTTGGTGTTCTTCGCTCTCTTGAGCGCTGAAACTGTTAATTGTGTTGTCTTTCTGACATGACCGATGATGGTCTTTGGAGTAGTTGTTTGAAGACAAAAGGGGATGATGAGGAAGAAAGTATTTGACCAATCGTAAGCAAACAAAGGGCCCAAAAACGAGAGCATTCGAGCAATAGGACAGGATAGAACCTGCAGGAGCCAGCTTGGCCCAGCCCAAAAACAACAGGATAAAGGGAAATTAAAAAAAGGGATAGGATTAAATAGGATAGGATAGCACCCAATGCAGTGTGTTCAAAAAAAAAAAAAAAAAAAAAAAGAAGGATAGGATAGCACCACCATCAGAGGTAGCGCTGTCCACCAATGACAAGGAATGAAGAAGAGTAGAAGTAATATAATAATAAATTAATTATAATAATGAGGAGGAGGAGGAACAGGAGAAATAAGAGGAGGAGAAGGAGGAGGAGGAGGTGATGGCGAAGAAATAAGGATTTTTTATTCTTTATCATTTTCTATTTCTATTTTTATTTTTTTATTTTTTTTAAAAGGGGATTTAGCCCCAAATACAATTGTATCCATCAAAATTCAAACCCATGATCTGTTTAATTAACTTTAATACTAAATTAATAGTGTTTATCAGACTTTATCCACAGCTACATGTGTGCACCATATCGCCAAGGCTGAGGTGAAGGTGCCAGAGGGTTTGTTCATTTGTTTGTTTGTTTGTTTGTTTGTTTGTTTGTTTGTTTGTTTGCTTTTAAGATGTGTCAGAGGATTGACGACAGACTCTGCAAAATCTTTTGTTTATTGCTGTTTTTGTTAGAGATTCGATACTTCCGCTGCGCTGCGTGGATATGAAGATGAGAAGTTTTCCTTTGTTGTTCTCCGGCGAGGTTCACGGCCAAGGTAAGAATCACCACCCTTACTCAGTGAAGCTCTGTGTTTGTAGAACTGCGTATATTTTAGAGTTCACCACGGTTTGATCCTACCTGGCACAAAGCCGGAAACATGCTCTTTCCACAGAGAGAGAGAGAGAGAGAGAGAGAGAGAGAGAGAGAGAGAGAGAGAGAGAGAGAGAGAGAGAGAGAGAGAGAGAGAGAGAGGGAGGGAGACCCACCAAACCAAGCGAGCATGCCACACGGGGTATCAGCTGCAGCGGATCCCTGATTGGATATGCCAGATAATAGCACAGCTGAATTTCCAGCCCAAGGGTGACAACAGGACGAGGGCAGCGAGAGGACCACCCTCTCTCTGTCTCACACACTTTCTCTCTGTAACTCTCTCTCTCTCTCTCTCTCTCTCTCTCTCTCTCTCTCT